ATCCGAGGTGCTTTCCCTATACACATTTTAAAAGCTGGGCATTCCCCTGGTCGACCGCGTTTAAGATATCCGCATTTATTCGAACAGTTACAGACCACACATCAATCTGAGCTGGAAGCGGTGATTTATTTCTAGTGAAATAAATTATATGGACGTGATGAACAGGTTTAATGTTTAATGTTTATTTATATGTCAAAAAAAAGTTTTTGGACAGACGTCATACAAAATATATATGTATACTTCAACAATGAGTATCTAAAACAGTAACTTAACTAATACAGTTCGGTCATACGGTGGACATTACTTAGGAATTCTTCTACCGAGTAAAAGGCCTCAGACGCCAAAAAATGTTTAACACGATTTTTAAAACGCGCGGTGTTCATGTTCTTTATGCAATCCGGTAGTTTGTTATAAAGTTTTGTACCCTGGTAGTCCACACCTTGCTGGGTCACCTTAAGACGGTGATACGGAACCCTTATAGAGTCTTTTTGTCGCGTATTATATTCGTGATGTACGGAGTTTATGTCATAGAGATGTGTATTATTATGTACATGGTTAACACAGGTAAGTATGTACATGCAGGGCACGGTAAGTATATCAATTTTTTTAAAATGTTGTTTACATGATTCTAAATTTTTTAGATTACACAAAGCGCGGATACAACTCTTTTGTAGCTTAAACACCCTGTTGATTCCCGGACCCGAACCCCAAATGGAGATGCCATATGAGGCCACTGCATGAAAACAAGAGAAATATGCTGTTCTTACTACTTCAGGTTCGGTACACTTCACCAATCTTCGCACCATAAAAACTGCACCCGCGAGTCTTCTACAAAGGGCACTCACATGGTCATCCCAGGTGAGACGATTGTTCAACTTCAAGCCAAGAAAGTTCACCACGTTATAGTTTCCTTTCGTGAGAAAGTTAATTTTTTGATTCTTTTGTTCATTGAGGATGAGCTTGTTCGCTCGCAACCAATCAGACGCGTCTTCTAAGACATCGTTAGTTCTCAATTGTGTTTCTTCTCTCGTTTTCCCTTTTACTACGAACCACGTATCATCCGCATATACGTTTCTGAGTTTTTTATGTTTCGAGGAAGATCGTTCATATACAGTATAAATAAGATCGGTCCCAGGATTGATCCTTGGGGTACACCGTATCTATTGTTTTTCACATCGGATATTGAACTATTCCAAGCGACATATTGTGTTCTGTTACTCAGATACGATTTCATTAGACTTAGTGTTGATCCCCGTACGCCGTAAAAGGCGAGCTTATCCAGTAATAGATTATGGTCCACCGTATCAAAAGCTTTGGTGAGGTCGCAACAGGTCATTTCCACGCTTTCTCGATTGTCATAAGCTTCCGTGACATCGCGTATCATTCGGGTAACAGCTGTGATCGTCCTGTAACCATGTTGGCTGTCGTCAAATATTTTATTTTTTTGTAAGTAGCTGATTAGTCGGCGTTTTATTACTTCTTCGAAGATTTTCGAAAACACTGGAAGGAGGGCAATCGGTCTGTAATTTGAGCAATCGTTGTCATCTCCTTTTTTGTAAATTGGATAAGTAAATTGGAGGTAAGTATTTCTATTAATATAAATGATAAAACAATAATACAAGGTAATTATTATTTTTTAAATCAAGATCGAGAAGGTTAGTGGCAGCTGCTAAAGCTATATATAATTTCACTCACAATAAAGACGGTAAGTTACAATTTTTTGTACTGAGTATTCTGATATTTATTATATTTTCATTTTCAAGAACCTGATGTACACGATAAATTATTTTCGGATGACAACTTCTCAGAAGACAACTCCTACCATGATCCCGATTTTGAGCTGACTGCATCGGAACATGAGGTATTCAATAATTTCTACATTTTATTGCGTTTTTTGCAAGCGGTTTAATTTAACCTTAATTTTTTGATCACTCCTCGTAGGTTAAATTTACAATTAGGTTAGGCCGTGATTACTGAATGTTGTCTATTTAGGGTTAATCAAATTGAAATTTTAAATAAAGTAAAATTAAAATTAAATTGGAATTTTACTAAATTTTACATTTATTAAATTAAAATAAAGATTAATTAAATTTTTAATTTAAATGCTATCAGCAACTATAGACGCTAACAACCTTTAAAATTATCACAGCCTACTCTGATTGCAAATTTAATTGATGGCACATTAGAAAGAAATAAACTATATGTATATTTATAATTTAAATGACTTAATTAAACTTATATTAAAAAGTACAATTTTAAGTATGCACCTTGAACTACCGAGTAAAATATTTCATTTTGAACTGAACAATTAATATTTATATTCACGAATTTATTTGCAAGTTATAAATTGATCATTTTTAGATTTTAACTTTCTGTAGTAATTGAAGTAGCAATTATTTAAAAAAATCGTCATTAAAATAAGAAATTACAAAATTAATTATATTTATAAAATTTGTTCAGTATCAGCATCTTTTACCAATACTGAAAACAACTTATTATTATTATTTTAGTCTGAGGAAAATTATGTTTCAAGTAGCTCTAAGCAATCGAGTGATATACCAATGCAGTAGTTATTTGTATATCTAGAACCGGCAAATCATGAAATAATTCAAAATATGTCAGAAAATTATCAAAATATTGATGTTAATATCTCTATACGTACTGACGCTGCATCAACTTTTAGTCAGGTTATGACAAAATCAGAAACACATGTATTGCGCACAGAAATGTCTTTGGAGAGGTATCAAACAGTAAGTTAAAAGTACCTATAATATAATTAAAAAATCTCTGTGTCAATATTTATTGAAATAAATCAAAAATTGATAGGAAAGGATGGCAAGTACCATGCGAAAGAAAAACAAGAAAAAGAAAACATTTTGCAAATTGTGCACCTTAAAAGTTACAAATTCTGAACGACATTTAGAAAGGAAACATCTAGATAACAAGGTGTCCAGGAATGTTAAGTTTTCCTAAAAAAAGTAATGAAAATGAAGAGCATTTTGAAATGAAGGGCATTTTGATAGTTTTTTAAGAGGTACTGTGAGACCTGTTTACCAAAGGTCAAACGACAGCACAACATACTACCCCTGTATAGACTGCAAGGGGCTGTATTCAAAAACTTTTCTACACCGTCACAGGAAACGTTGTTACGCAACCGCCATTGCCAAAGTTTCAAAAAAAATTAAAAGTCTATCATCAAACGCTGATAGCCTGCGTCCTTGATACAAATAATACTTTACACAAATTGCATGTCAAAGAAGAGGTATTGAATGTTATGAAAGTCGATGAAATTTCATTTGCAGTAAAAACCGATATTTTAACTTGCTATTTTGGAAAACAGTATCTCAAGAAATACAACAGAAAGCAAATGGCAGTTGTGTGTTCCAATAAAATGAAAGAATTAGGTTACTGCTAGAATTTAGAAGCAGTAACCTAACTCGATTCGGCACAAAAAACCTACCGAGATTCCAATATTAAACTAAGTGACCCAGAAGCTAAGCTAAAGGAAGTAAAGCGTTGCAAAGATTTTGTTGTATCACAATAGACAACAGAAGTTAGTTTGCTTGGCGTTCAAGGACTTGAATGAAAAGAAATGGAATAAACCTACAATGTTACCATTAACCAAAGATATTTTAAAATTTAAAACATACGTTTCAGAAATAATTAATAAATCTGTTACTTTTCTTCTGAAAAATCCGAGCAGTCAACAAGATTTTAGACAATTAGTAGATACAACACTCGTTTTAACAATTTTTTATAATAGGAGACGGATAGAAGATGTACAGTACACCAAGCTTGAAACGTACCTAAATAACGCATCCTCTCAGAATCAGGAAGAATTTATTAATTCCCTATCTGAATTCGAAAAGGAATTAACAAAGCATTATAAAAGAGTCGTTACGGGGGGAAAGGGGAGTAAGCCTACCGTTATTTGTTTCCTCCAACTCTACAACACTTTATATGTCAAAATGCAACCCAAATTTGTTCGCATATCCTAACAGTGACCATTGGGCAAGAGGTGATGTTGCGATTAGAAAATTTGTTAATAAGGCTCAGTTAGAAAATCCCAGAAATATTTCTTCTAATAGATTAAGAAAGCAAATTGCCACTGTTATGCAAATTTTATGGGACATACTGAGAAAACTCACAACGAATTTTACGAGTAAGCATGCTCGTGATATTACTATGTACTGTTCTGTTCAGATATAATGCGAAAAGAGCCGCTCGTAGAGGCATAAAATTGTACTAGAAACGACCTACGTTCACGAGGCATTCAATTCGGTTTTACCTGCTCTGTAGTCTTGTAAAAGTTCCGAACAGGCAAGCGGGGTGGTGTGATTTATGGCCAAGATGACTGAATCACAAAGAACAATTAAGAAAATAAATAGGTATAAGCAATCCATTTACTTTACACAATTCCTGTAGTAAAATAATTACTAATAATTACTGTATTACTTTGGTAATACAGTGGAAGGATAAGTCGAACCTCAAAAGAAATGAAAATGATATATTGATAATAAGTTATATACAGTGTGTCCCAGGATAGGTGTTACAAGAGGTATAATGACTTAAAAATTCTTGAATGTTAGTAAGCTTTCTGTTCATGATACGGCAAAATGTCAAAAAAGGGGGCAAAAAAGGGTGATCCATTCAACGGCCCACTTCAAACTGGGACGATTTTACCTGGGTTTTACCCTCTTCCTTTAGTCTCAGAAATCGAATTGACTAGAAACAAAAGATGTCTCCGTCTTCTTCCAGTACCAGCGTCATGTCGGAGCTAACAGCGGCCGATTCGCATTAAATTTGAACAGAGCTGTACATATTTTATACAAATTAAATTGGGGGTAAATATGATTACATAAAATGACATGAGATCATAGATACGCTCTATTTGTTCAATTATGTTTTAATTAATTAATAATTAATTAAATTTTTTTTCTGTTGATTCATACTTCCTGTACTAGTTTAATTCATACTGTTTTTATGGTAGGCTGCCACAAGATATATACCAAACGGCAAAGGCTGCGAAATTATTAATATTGATGGACAAAGGTATTGGGCACATGTACAAGGGTAAAAGTTTGAGTGAAATTGACATTAACCCAGAAGTAGATGAAGCAGATTCTGATAAAAGTGAGGACGAAACGCCGTTGGCAAATGAAATTAATGATGTCGTTACCAATAATTTTATAGAAGACACTACTCCACAACCATGTTCCTCTGTCAGTGCAAAGCAAGGTAACATGATTTTTTTGTGAAAACAAAATCTGTAACACATTTCATTTTTAGCTAGCAAACTAACTGGTAGAACACCATGGACTACAGAGCAAATTGGGGTTGTTACACATTATTTCAAAACACATATCAAGGAAAAGAAAGCACCGAAAAAGCATGAATGTGAACAAATATCCACATTTATTAAGAAATAAGGATTGGACTCGTGTAAAAACCCATACATATTGTAATAAATAATAAGAATTTATTATAACCTCTTCTGCAATGCATAAGGTACTATTAAGCACCCAAACTTGCTAATAATATAAATCAATAAATATCTTTATTTAGCAAAAAGATTTTATTATTAACCTTATTTTTAACAAATAGTATAAAAAGTAAAAAAGTTTTTAATTTAAAAAAGTAAATGTGGTTTTGTTTTCTTAACATATAATTTTTAAATCTTACTCATTGTTTAAGATGCGTATTAGCATCATATTAAAATAGAAGATTAATCAATTTGCAACCAAACTATCTCGGTAACATTATTTATCGGTTCCAGAACGGTTTTAACAATCAACAATTCATATTCGTGGGTTTTCTATATATTGCAATTTTGCTGAGCATCAGCACCTATGTGAACACCTTCTTATCTAATCTGTAAGTTGTAAACATCTTTGTCAAGAAAATATTTCTAGAAATAATCCTTTTCACTTTCAAACTGTTTAATTAAAGGGAAATTTTTCATTCAAAATACTAATTTAATACTAAATAATTACAGTGCTAGATACCACTGCAATTCGATTAAATAGTTAGATAGGGACAATTAAAGAAACTACCACAAATTTTAAGCTTTCTTCAACTCAGCTTTATTAGTGTGGAATGCTTATATAACAATGTAACATAAATAAAAATGTTTTTCGATAATATACAAAGTGAATCAGCAAGAATGGCAAATCTCGGATCTGAAAATGCCAAATAGCAAAGTATGATGATTCAAAATTGTATTTTTTCTTTAATTTCTTAACTTTAATTTTTTTTATTGTCAATAAAAGTTACAAACTTAAAAGAAAGTTTGTTTTTATGTAAAATCGGTACTTTTGTTTCATTTCTCCAAATTATGTTATCGAGTTATTTGCATTTAAATACTTTAAAGTCTTTAAGTTTTTATTACTGTTACTGTTTGTTATTATTACTGTTTTTATTGTTACTAATTGTTTTACTGTTTGCCTTTAGTGAATGTCATGGATACTACATGTTCTTCTTACTGTTATATTGAAACATTTTACTGCATATAACTCGAAAACCGATTAATTTAGGCGAAGTAAAAAAGTACCTTTAAAAGTAAATTCTCTTTTAGATTTGTTATTAAACATAATTCAATTTACAATAACGTTATGGATCTCTCTACCTATAGTAAAGTATAATAATATAATAAAAAAATATAATAAAATAACGTATTAATTCTATTGTATTATGAAAAAAACCAAATTTTACGAAAATGGTATTGAAACTTGAAAAGTTATTTATAAATTAAAGAAAAAGAAACAATTTTAAACACTTTACATCATTATCGTATTTCATGTTCTTTCTGAATGATTCTGTATACAACTAGAAAATTTAAATACTAATTGTTGGAACAATTGCCACTTTCACGTGTATAACCATGTTCATTGCAAATAGAAATAAATCGGCAACGACTGGCAGGAATTTTGGTACAAAAACAGTTGACCAGGTACTCAACTTCCAAATATTTACTATCTACCATCGTATTTACGGATACTGAAGAAATGTTTGCGCCTTGAGGACATAGTCGTTTAAACAGCCTTTTCAGGTCAGTTAATGCAGCACACCCAGTATAGTATTGATTATGATCATGTTCAAAAACTCCAATCCATCTGTGTGGGTTTCTTCCTAATCGTACTTGCGGTCGTACTGAGGTTAGTGTAAACGTAGGAGGAGTGGCATCCAGAATTATGGCTTTAGCGGTTATCATGTCTGCCTCATGAATGGCCTCAGTACAGGGTAGCAGATTTACACAACTGCAGGGAACAATGATGTTCAATAAAATAATTGTGATTAATTCGATAGCCAGTTAATAAAATCTTTTTGCTAAATAAAGATATTTATTGATTTATATTATTAGCAAGTTTGAGTGCTTAATAGTACCTTATGCATTGCAGAAGAGGTTGTAATAAATTAATATATACTGTTTCTGATAGAAATACTGTTTCTGGTGGCAGCGGTATTACCAAAGGTCGAGATCGCTCCGAGGCGGCCTCACCACACATTCTGGACCTCAACCTCTCCTGGCGAACTTCTTCTCTTCAGTCCCCTCAACACTGCCTACATTTCTTCCAGTGTTATCTCTTTTCCTTCTTACACCCCTCGCTCTCCCTCTCACAGTCTTCCCTCTTCCGCCCCTCTCAACAATCCCATGCAGTAGGTTCTCCATTCAGTTATTTGAATATCTCTGCTGACTTCCTCCCTTCCCTTCGTCATCCTCTTTAAGTATCTCCAATACCTCATCTTCCTCTTTCAACTCCTGGGAGAGGATACATCAATAACGAGAGTATCCCCCCTCCCGTGAGCAGCGCGTACCATCGCTACACGACGTGGCATAGAGTCGATAAGTTGCTGTATTGTAGCGGGAGGGATGGCCAACCATGCCGCCTCAACTCGCCTCCATAGCTCCGCAACGTTAACCGGGGGAGCCGGATAACGTTGAAGTCTCTGACCAATCATGTCCCAAACATGTTCGATCGGATTCAGATCCGGAGAACGAGCTGGCCATGGAAGCATTCATATACGGTCCAAATATTATGGATTTATCTTCACGCGTTCAGATTATATAGGATGTGCTGGTGAATTATTTCCAACAGTATAATAGCGCGTACCACGGAGCTCTGTTCTCGGACCCCTACTTTTTCTGCTATACATAAATGACTTGCCAAGCAATACAAATGCTGATTCAATGTGTCTCTATGCAGACGATACATCCTTTATTAATTCTTCTACAGACCTTCTGTAGCTGCAATAAAAAACTAATGAAACGTTAGAGCAAACGAAAAAATGGTTTGAATCAAATAGTCTAGAGTCAAATAAGAAAAAAACCAAAATTCTTACGTTTTATACCAACATTTATACCAACAATGGATGTTAAGGACGAAACCGTGAAATTCCTAGATATAACACTTTCTTCGACCGTAGCGTGGAAAGGACATATAACACAAATGAAACAAAAGTTGTCAACATCCTTGTATTGTCCGAGAGTGGTGTCAAGGGTTTTACCGATCAAAAAAACAAAAAGTGTGTATTTTGTGTGCATACTTTCACAGTATAGCAACATATAGTATTCTTCATGGGGTGCTTCAAACGATATTGAGGTCATCTCTTTGATTATAGGTATATAATATGGATTGAGCTAACTGACTATATCTACTAACAAAAATGTGGCTCAAGGTGAATAGACGCAGATGGAAAGCGATAATGAAAGTGTAACAAAGATAGACATAAAACGGTACTAAACAGACAGGCGCATGCGCACAAAAGTGTCAAACCTCTTCCATTTGACGTTTATCGTTTTGTTGTGTCACAGCCAGTCACACCGTTATGTTTAAAAATATATTGTTTCGTGTGCAAAGTTCGCGATAATACAGTTTCACATCACCTGTAAGTATTATAAATGTTACTTCTAATTGATAGTTTTTTATCTTATAAATTAACGCACGCCCATTATATGTCAGTACGCTTCTATGTCTATAGTAGACGCCACGAGAGCTGGTAGTAAATCATCATTTTCCGCTCTTACAAATGCCATACGTAGTTCACAAACCGCTAGAGAGTAATGTGTGTTTGAAAGAGATAGCATTAGTTTAATATGTCTGGTGTACAATTCAAATGGCCACGTCGAAAAAGTACGTCTGTTCTTCTAAGGGATGTAACTCTATAATTATAACCTCAAATCGAAACGTCTTATGAGCGCTTATCTGTCAGTGTTTTCACAAGCCGAAAATGTTTTCTTTGAAAGGAAAATCATTAAATAATATTTTTGACAATGTTTGACATATAACCTCCATTACTAACATAACCTACATTTAAATGTATGTGGTGAAATAATCTAAGTCGTACGTCCATATCTTGATTCATACCATTTCTAAGCGATCTGTCACTGCCAGCTCTCGTGGTTTCTACTATATCTCGGTTCGATCACCTTGCGCAAGCTATCTCTCTCGTTGGCTCAATCCATATTATATATAATCAAAGGGTCATCTTTACAGGTAAAAAAAAAGTCGTTAAGCCGAGGCACTAAAAATACTCAAAATACCATCATGTTTTATTCTATCCTGTTTGAATTACATACAAAGAGGAAGAGAACACGTACCCATGAATGCAGATACATACAACTATAACACACGTCATGGATGTGATATATTGGTACCATTACATGGAGTTTCAAAGTCACAAAATAGCTTTCATTATCAAATTAAATTCTCACCAAAATTAAAAGCTTTGAACACCAAAAAGTTGAAATAAATAATGAAAATAAAATTGTTACATGAGATTTATACAACAAGTGAATATTATAAAAAAATACAAAGTGAAAAAAATTTTTTTATGTAATTTTTTTTGTATTATAGACGGTTTAAATGTCTATGGGGCACGTAGAGGGATTTCTGTTACCCCACTGCCAGTGCTTACTAAAATCAGTACAAAAGTGATGTTGCCGATTTATTTGTCTTTATTTCACTCTGTTGCATCGTATGCTATAATATCATGGGGTCATTCTCACCACAAGCACAGAATCTTTAAATTGCAACGACGGGCTATACGTATTATCATGAGATTGTAGTATAGAGATGTGAGGGATTTTTTTGTAAGCCACAATATAATAACAGTTCCATGTTTATATACAGGGTGTATCTGAATGACTGCAACAAACTTCAAGGGGTGATTCTTTAGTGAATTTTGGTTTAATTTTTTTTCTCAAAAACCATAAACGCTAGGAAAATGAAATTTGGGGAATATGTTTAACTCATAATAGGGCACGTTTTGACCCTATTTGTACTTTCAACCTACCCTTCTCAACTACTAAACGTAACCACCCCCTTTACATTTTTGCAAAATTTTTTTTTGTGCCGATGATAAATACATTAGAAAAATTTTATATAGATAGATGAAAGTATCCTAAAACCTTTTTGTCTTTCTAAAATTTTTCCAAAAACGACTAATTTTTGAGAAAAAAAATAATAAAGCAAACAGCCCGTTAAACTACGGGGTTGTCGATCAAAAGTTGGA